AGTTCATATCTTTGGAGGTACATACTGCTGCCTTCAAGGAGAAATGACATAATGTCTGGAATTTGCTTTAAAATACAGCAAATCCCCCACTCCTCTATCTCAAACAACTAAATAAAAAGAAATGAACAAAAGATTAAAAGTGTGTGTATGCAGTGGATGGAACAAGAATGGCAGAATACTGATAACTGTTGAAACTGGATTATGTGTACATGAAGCTGCATTCCTATTATACAATTCTCTCTACTTTAGTCTGAAAATTTTTACCACACAAAAAATGCTCCTTGGCCCCTCTTTTTTAGGGATTCTTTAAGAAACTAGAGATTTAATCTCATCAGCAATTTTTTACAAGGCTACATTTGCCCTATCTTCATTCTCCCTCTGCCTGGGGACAGTCTGCAGTGCCCTTTCAAATTTGGGCCTACCTTGGTCCTCTGGGTATTTCTACTGCTTTTTTAATGCAGTGACTTCTGGGAGTCCTCCTCATACTTGTCAACTAATAGTCCCACTGGATTGGGGTCACTGCCCCAAATGAGGTATCTCTAATTTTAGATTGGAATCAGGGAAATCCAGATGGGTTGCCACTTATAACTGGTATACATTTCAGCCCATGAGCAGAGATGTGCAGGAGATAGTATGCAATTTTCTTATATAACTCCATTTAATTTGTAATTTAAGCCTTGGTTCTATTGATGTCCTGTTTGGATTTCCACCTCTCCCTATTTGGAAATCATACAGGGCTGAGGTTTTGAGGGTGGGGTGAGAGCGTAGTCTCTGGTTATTGGAGCATACAGCTGAAGTTTAGATGCCCATCAGCTCAGTTGCCAGGGCATCTTTAGGTGGTGTGGCTCCTATGCCATGTGTGAGATAGGTTGCCATGATTCTGCTTATATGCATAATACAGCCAGCCCTTCTTGAAGTTTTTGCCACATGTACCTCTTCAGCCACATTTCAGAGGGCTCCTCTCCTCCACAGTTTGAAGATCTCTCTCTCTCCCTGACCTAATCAGTACCTCTCAACACTGAGGTAGAGTAAGAAGGGGGCATGCCTAATTAAAAAAATCCTGCTTCCATTATGTTTCTGCTAACTTTCCTCTTTCCTATGGAGTTTGAGATTTTAGACATAAAAGTCAGGTAGGGTGTGGTGGCTCATGCCTGTAATCCTAGCACTTTGGGAGCCTGAGGCAGGAGGATATCTTGAGGCTAGGAGTTCAAGACCAACCTGGGCAACATACTGAGACCCTGTTTCTAAAAAAGAAAAAAAAAAAAATTAGTGAGGTGTGGTGGTTTGTGCCTGGTGCCGGTTGTTCCAGCTACTTGGGAGGCTGAAGTGTGAGGATCACTTGAGCCAGGGGCTGAAGTGACCTATGATCACACCACTGCACTCCAGCCTGGGTGACAGAGGGAGACCCTATCTCTCACAAAACAAAACAAAATAAAAACAACAGCAGCAGCAACAAATAAAAAACATAGAAAGAAAAGTCAAGATGATTAACATGCTATTGCTGCTTTCAGCCCTGCCATACCCTTCCTCTGAGCAATGAACACAAAGCCTGCTACCTGCTTGAGTCCAGAAGGGAAAGGGTGAAAAAAAAGGAGAAAAGAAAAAAATTAAATAGAAACATGTTAACATCTCAAAATATTCTGCCACATTTGAGATACGGGAGAGTTGAATTCATTAGAGGACTTCTACTGGAAAAAAGGAATTGTTCTTGAAAAGGAGGTCTCTGCAGTTGCACAGACTGTGTTGGACCTAGGTCCGCAGAACGCTGTGATGTCATCATTGAGGTCAGAGAATCTGCTGTGGGCCTGGTGACCTTTGAACCTTAACAGCCCTGCAATGTAGTGAGCACTGGGCAGTGCTGCTCGTTCACTAAGCGGTCTTGAGTTCTTCAGCTATTTAGGAGATTCAACTACGTTTATTCATACTGAATCTTTTTAATGAATTTCCTGAGAGCCAAGAAGGGCCAATCTACAGGAAAAAGGGGGAGGTGGACATTAAGCATCTTCTAGAAACTCTTCTAGCTGATACCATGAAACGACGACAAAAGAGGAAACATTTGGAAAATGAAGAGTCCCAGGAAACCGCTGAGAAGGGAGGAGGTATGTGCTGGGCAAACTGTCTGGGTCACAAGCGTCACTGGCCAGCCTGAGCCTTTTTTAAAATTTTTTTTTTTTTTTTTGAGACGGAGTCTGGCTCTGTCGCCCAGGCTGGAGTGCGGTGGTGCGATCTCGGCTCACTGCAACCTCCGCCGCCCGGGTTCACGCCATTCTCCTGCCTCAGCCTCCCGAGTAGCTGGGACTACAGGCGCCCGCCCCCACGCCTGGCTAATTTTTTGTATTTTTAGTAGAGATGGGGTTTCATCATGTTAGCCAGGATGGTCTCGATCTCCTGACCTCGTGATCCGCCTGCCTCGGCCTCCTTTTTTTTTTTGTTTTTTCTTTTTCTTTTGAAATGGAGTCTTGCTCAGTCGCCCAGGCTGGAGTGCAGTGGCGTGATTTCGGCTCACTGCAAGCCCCACCTCCTGGGTTCTCGCCATTCTCCTGCCTCAGCCTCCCGAGTAGCTGGGACTACAGGCGCTCACCACAATGCCCAGCTAATTTTTTAAAAAAAATTGTTTATTTTTAGTAGAGATGGGGTTTCATCGTGGTAGCCAGGATGGTTTCCATCTCTTGACCTCGTGATCCACCCGCCTCAGCCTCCCAAAGTGCTGGGATTAATGGCGTGAGTCACCGCACCCGGCCAGCCTGAGCCTTCTTTAGGGAGGAGGAACTGAGGAGAATGTGCTACCTATACGGTAGTGAGGGGGAGACCTGGCTGTTGGTTGATGCCGGCACATCCATCTTGAGGGTACCCGGATGTGAGATGGACAGGAAGTCCAGATGCCACTGGCACACGATACAGAAAGCCAGCCCTGCTGGGCTGAGAACTTTTGTTCTGGGGCTGCTGGTACCTGGACCTATGTCAGTCTCCAGGCAGGTCGGGGACCCACTTACAGAGACCCAGTGATGCAGCCTGAGTCTCGTCTTTCTCTCATTCTCTTTATTTGCTCTTTCTCTGGGGTAACTGAGGTGGAAGGTGTGAAGGGTGCTGGTAGAAATCTATGAGTTGCACTGCCCCTTTTAGCAGAAACGAAAGAGTAGCCCAATGAGTTAAAGGCCTTGTTGAAAAATATCTTGAGAAGCGGAATGCTTGTTAGAAAGTAGATTAAACACTTGTTTGGGGATGGCGTCATACTGAAACCACGGAGGTTTGATTTTTCAGCAGGAAGAATTAACCAATTAATCCAACAGAGTTTGTGAATCCACAGTGTGGGACTTCCCAGAGGAAATGACGCACAGGGTAAGGGTCTTCGATTGCTGTCAGTTTACTTCCCAGGCTGCATGATAATGGCAGGTATTAAAAGTAAAGAAGCCGCTTATCCTGAAAGGGGGATGGTCACATGCAGGAGACAGGGCAGAAAGGAGCCTGCTCCAGAGATGGCCCTCGAGGCTTCTGCCCCAGTTAGAGCTCAGCAGCGTCTATGAGGCCCAAAGTCATAAAGACCTGTAAGTTGAGCCCTGGGAATGGAGGCATGAAGACTAGGCATGGAGAGCAGGGGGCTGGGACAGGAAGGGGAAGGCAATGGTTTTCCTCTCCTTCATCTACGCTTACATTTCAGAATTTGTCTGTCTCTGTGTGTGTGTGCGTGCACACGTGTGTGTTGGGAGGGGGAGGACTGGAGATAATGAGAGCACAGTGGTGGGTTCTGCAGGGTGAGCTTTCTGTCACCATGCCTCGGCCTGGGCAACACTCAATACACATAACAGTGTGTACCGAATTTTTGTTGAGGGTATTCCAGGAGACAGTCACTCATATGCCCATATGTACTCTGATACAGAAAAAGAGTCACACACCTCCACACACAGTGCATACAGTTAGATACACATACCGTTCCTCTATTACATACTCACACAACCCATGTGTGTGACAGTCTTTTCTTCCTACAGAGATTTCATGTGTGTGTCTGGGGGGGTGTGTGTGTCTCCTCAACTCTCACACAAACACAGCTACCTTAAACTATCTCTAAATACCTCTTTAAGAGCCAGTCACACATCATACATGCCATATCTGTAACACATTGTGTAGCAGAGCCAGGCCTGCTTTGCATAGACCACGATGAAACAAAGATTCACCACCATCCCCTTATTAGGGTTGCCAGACAAAATACAGGATGTCCAGTTAAACTTGAATATCAGATAAACCACCAATGATTTTTTAGTATGAGTGTGTCCCAAATATGGTATGGAACGTACTGACACTAAAGATAAGTATGACAAATATTGCATGGGACATACTTACACTAAAAAATTATTTGTAATTTATCTAAAATTCAAATTTAATTTGGCATCAGCTGTTTTTTTGCTAGATCTGGTGACCCTTATATATTCATAATGAGCTAACCTATGATATACTTGTATTTCTGCTTAGTGTCTATCTTCCTTGTCTAGAATGGAAAGTCCACTGAGAAGAAGGACTGTTTTGTTCAGTATTCCTAGAGCCTAGAAGAGTGGACTGGTGTCTGATACATGGTAGCTGTTCATGAAATATTGCCAGATGAATGAATTAATGTACATTATAAATACAAGCCACACCATATAATTAGGAAAAGTTACATATTGCCTAATTCCAGGATTGTAAACACAAACTATGCGCACAAACTCCATAGACACAGACACATGTTTCTATAATATACCCACACAAACCTACACATATCAAAGGCTATCTGATATGTATCACTCTTACACTTCAGACCTATTCATAGTCACCACACAGGCCTACGTTCCTAACGATACACTATCAAAATACCTGTTGACTGTAATTAAATATTGGAGTATCCACCAGAAGGCTGTCTCACAAACCATGTGTGTTCACCACATGTGACATACGTCAGCCACTCAGTAAATATTTGTTGGATGGGTAAATGATGCACAAACATTCCCCATCCACCATATCTCTGTGCCCTTCATACCTTTCTCAGGAATGTCAAAGTCCCAAGAGGATGCCCTGCAGCCTGGATCCACTAGAGTGGCCAAAGGCTGGAGCCAAGGGGTGGGAGAAGTTACTTCTACCTCCGAATACTTCTCCTGCGTTTCTTCTTCACGCAAGCTCATCCACGGTGGTAAGGGTGCAGGGCTCCTTGGGCATGTGGCTCCTTGGCTGTGGGGTTCATTTGGCATGAAAATCTTTGAGTGTGGGGCTCTTTGGGACTGGGACTGTTTGGGTACAGGGCTATTTGGGCATGAGACTCTTTGGTTGCAGTGCTGATTGAGTGTAAGACTCTTTGGGAGTGGGACTTTTTGGGTTTGGGGCTCCTTCGGTGTGACACTCTTTGGGTGTGGGGCTCCTTGGATGTGAGATTCTCTGGGTGTGAGGTTCCTTGAGTACGACACTCTGGACACAGGGCGCTATGGGTATGAGACTCTTTGGGTGCTGGGCTCCTTAGGTCTGGGACATTTTGGGTGCAGGGCTCCTTGGGTAGGGGGCAGGAGGCCCATAGATCCAAGGATGAGGCTAAGAGGAAACCCAGGGCAGTTGGATGTGATCAGAGCTCTGCAGAGGTGTCTGGGCAAGATACAGAGCTGTTAGAAGAGCATGGATATGAGCTCAGTGAAGGAGAGCATGAGCCCTGGTGTGCAGTCAGGCAGTCAGGGAGCAGAGGCCAGGAAAGTCTGCTCTTGGGGTGTAGGGCCACAGGACCAGATTAAGCACCTTCAGCAGAACTACTTGGGCTCTGACTTTGCCTTCCAGAGAAAAACAGAGTTCCTCAGCCCAGGCCTCCAGCACTGCAGCAGGACTCTAGCTCAGGCCTATACACCTCACACATACAGCCACACGCTCCACAGGTACACTCTCTGCACACATCCCACACAAATGCGTGACCTGCAGTGCCATTCTCCCACACTACCTCCCACATTCCACAAATAACACATCAGTGATGGCACCAACTCACATCCTCATAGCACACACATGCTGCCAACATTCCACATAAGCTGCAGTCCTCACCACCATACTCCACACCCCTGTATACAGACATCCCAGCAACATCCCTACACACAAATGACACTAGAATCACTATCCCACAATATGAACAACAATCATCAAGCTCACCACACAGCTGCATCACACCACAGTCCCTCTCTCCTGCACCACACATATTCAACGTATGTTCCCCCAGCTCCTGGCATGGCCTGTGCATCTGCTCATGTTTCTAATTTCCTTTCCCAGAAATCCAGAGAATACATCGTGACAGCCCCCAGCCTCAGTCACCCCTGGCCCAGGTTCAGGAACGAGGAGAGACTCCTCCCTGCTCACAACATGTCTCCTTGTCATCCCATTCGTCCTATAAGACTTGTGTGTCCTCTCTGTGTGTAAACAAAGAGGAAAGGGGCATGAAAATATACTACATGCAGGTACAAATGAAAAAAGGTGTGGCTGTCTCCTGGGAGACAGAGGAAACTGCAGAGTCCTTAGAAAAGCAGCCAAGGATGGAAGAAGTGACCCTTCCTGAGGTTGTGAGGGTAGGTACTCCCCCCTCTGATGTGTCCACCAGAAACCTCCTGTCTGACAGTGAGCCCGGCGGGGAGGAGAAAGAGCATGAGGAAAGGACAGAATCAGACAGCCTGCCAGGCTCACCCACCGTTGAGGAGACACCCAGGGCCAAGACTCCTGACTGGCTGGTGACCATGGAGAACGGCTTCAGGTGCATGGCCTGCTGCCGGGTGTTTGCCACCGTGGAAACCCTCCAGGAGCATGTGCAATATGGGATCAGAGAGGGCTTCAGCTGCCACGTCTTTCATCTCACCATGGCTCAGCTGACAGGCAACATGGAATCAGGGAGCACCCAAGACGAGCAGGAGGAGGAAAATGGAAATGAGGAGGAGGAGGAAGAGAAACCAGCAGCAAAGAAGGAGGAGGAGGGGCAGCCCACAGGGGAAGACCTTGGCCTGAGGAGATCCTGGAGCCAATGTCCAGGCTGTGTGTTTCATTCTCCAAAGGACCTTCCAAAGGACTGGAAGTGAGCAAGGGCTGGGTCGTGGGACGCTGAGGAAGCAATGGCTTCCCTGAGCCAGTACTCTCCCCAGTTCAGGCTTAGGTCTCTGTAAGGGAGATTTGGGGGTTTTATTGGCTCAGGGAACAGTGGAAGGGGACATAACTGGGATCCCTGCTTCTTGCCTAGGCATTTAATAAAGTCTTGATTGTAAGTCAGGACTTGTCTTGACCTTTCCAGCTCCTGCAGGAAATTCTGAGAATTTCTAAGGTCGCATTAACTAAGAAGTGTCTTTCTTTGGTTTGATTTTCACACAGCAGCTGAGACTTATGGGCCAGAAGATACTGGAAGATGGTGTGGCCTTCTCTTGCAAGAGGTAAGGAGTGAGATTTGCAGTTTTCTGAGGCTGTGTCATGAGGGCCCAGAGGAATCTAAGGGAAGGAGCTGCAGGGATGCACTGGGTCACCTGGCGGCTCTGCAGCTGCATCAACTTGTGGTGCACCTGGTGCTTCTGGGGGAATTGTCCTCCATTTGCTTAGACGATAAGGTGAAGAGCATTGACTGGGAACTTTCTCAATGTCTCCATGATTGTCCTCAATTCTAAGAGGAAGTACTGCAGCTCTTCAAGGCAGAGAAAACTCAGTTTAACCTCAAGGGCCAGGATTGGCCTGAAAGGACAGGCTGCCAGCAAGATCAGAGGTGTGGAGTCTGAGAGCCTTTGGCCTGAGCTGGGACCTCACCTCAGCCCATGAATATAGCCCTTGAGGAAAAGGGGAATTTGGAGAGGTAACAACATCATCCTCATGAGATACCAAGAGACCTGGAAATGTTTCAGAACCTTCATTTTGCTGCATTTGATCTGGAAATGAACTCACTGTAGGGGTGCATGACTCTGAGCTTTAAAACAAAGGTGAAGGGTAACTGACTAGTGATGCTCGTATTGTTTCTTGCCTCTTCCTGTTCTGCCTCAATTGTTTTCTTCACTTTCAGGGAGAAGAAAGAGCCATGGAGATAGTAGCAGACAGACTGCCCAAGGTATGAAGGAGATGAGGGACCAGCACTCAGTCTAACATGTAAACATCATATGTAATAAAGGTTGTGTTTCAAACCTTCCCTGGATATATTATTTAATTAACAAATTAATCTAACTATCTATTCATCATTTTCTATTGTTTTTTTTCCTTTTTCTTTTTCTTCTTCTTCTTTTTTTTTTTTTTTTTTTTTGAGATGGAGTTTCATTTTTGTTGCCCAGGCTGGAGTGCAATGGCATGATCTCGGCTCACTGCAACCTCTGCCTCCTGAGTTCAAGTGATTCTCCTGCCTCAGCCTCCCAAGTAGCTGGGATTACAGGCACGTGCCAACACACACAGCTAAATTTGTATTTTTTTTAGTAGAGACGAAGTTTCACCATGTTGGTCAGGCTCGTCTCGAACTCCTGGGCTCAAGCGATCCACCCGCCTGGGCCTCCCAAAGTGCTGGGATTGCAGGCGTGAGCCACGGCGCCCAACCCTATTCATTATTTTCGTCTATCTATCTAGTGGTTTGTGAACGAAGTTTTACACCAGCACTGAAGATATCTACCAGCCTTTTCCAGAGGCAGCCATACCCAAACTCCTGGGATTGATTAGGCTTCTGTGTGACAGTTTTTTCAAGGCTGGATGCCACATTTCACATGAGACCATGAGAAACTCCACTACATACCTGTTTCCATCATCCCGCTTTATTAAGCTTAGCACTTTTCTACATTTACTTCAGATGGCTTTGAAGTAAAAATGATTACAAATACAGCTGTAGTCCCCTGTTCCATTGCCTTTCATATGGATTTGGAGTATTTTTTAATACTTCTGTGCATGTTTTATACTATTATATAAATATATAAAATGTTTTGAATATCTTGAAAGTTTCACATACCATTGTACTTCGTTACTACTTTGCAACTTGTTTTTATTAAAAAGCAGGCTTTTAAGATTATCCATTGTCATACACATATTTGTAGTTAACTAATTTTTACTACTGTATTATAGTTCATTCTATCAATATGCCAACTTTTAATTTATTATCTTTTTGATGAAATTTTAGTTGCATCCAAATTTCCTCTATTACCGTAGAGTGTGAGTCTCTCTCTAGGATGGATGTCCCAGACATCCATTGCTGTGCTGAAGTATATAGATATTTCAGTTTAGTAGTAATTGTCATTGTGTATTTCTTCCTTTGTTCAAGTACTTTTTTTCTTTCTTTGTTCTTCAATAATGATTAATGCTTTTCTCCACAAATGTTATATACAATTTTTATTCGATGCGGTCCAAGGTATCTTTTCAAGGTCGAAGGTTTTCTTTTCAGTCTCCTTAGATGGCATATTTTTTCTATTATAGTTTAGAATTGGTTATTACTGATGCATATTTTAAATTTTCATTTCACATCTAGCCACCTTTTTGAAATTGTTTAGGTGTATTTCTGTATAGTATTCCGTATTTTTCTATATTCAATCATATTAAATACAAATAAAAAGAATTAGTTTTTTCCTTTTTATTTCTAGACAGCACTTTTATTTTTCTTCTGTTACTGAACAGGCTAGGACCTCTAATATAATATAAAAAAATAGTGACCATAAAAATAACCTATTTTTTTTAAAAAGGTGAGAATGATTGTTGAATTTTATGTGGGTTTGATGCATCTATTCAGATGATTTCGTTCCTTTAGTTGTTAATTTTGTGTAATGCATCATAGGGTTTTGGATGAGGAACGATCCTGGCCTCTCTGAAATAAACCTCATTTTACCATTATTGTTTGATTTTACTGAATTGTTGAATTCACTTTGCTATTAAGAAATTTAGGATTTTTATGACAAAAATAAAATCAGAGTATAATTTTTTTTCTTACATTATCCTTGTCCATTTTTTTAAAAAAACAAAATTAGCTATCTCCTATGCCATGATTTTTTTCCTCTCATCCCTGAAAGAGCTTCTGTGGAATGGGGGTTCACTTAATCCTTTTTTTAAAATTTAATTTTAAGTTCCAGGATACATGTGCAGGATGTGCAGATTTGTTACATAGGTAAACGTGTGCCATGGTGGTTTGCTGCATCTACCAACCTATCACCTAGGTATGAAGCCCTGCTTGCATTATCCTAGTTCAACTGATTAGTGTTGCCAGAGATTTGTTATTTTAATAATTGAAAATGAAATCTTTTAGTAGTGTTGATATTTTGTATTATTTTCTTTTTTAGATTTTCTAATCATGCCTTTATTGTTTCTTTCCTTCTTTTATAGGTTTACTCAATGTTTTCTTTTTCCAGCATCTATTGAACAATTAACTTACTGCTTTTTAATCATTCTTATTTTTAAATAAATGCATATGAAGCTCTGTAAATTTTCTGAAATATCATTTTAGAAGTATTCTGCAAGTTTTGTGTTATACTTTCATTGTTGTTTATTTCTAAATGTTTTATAATTTCTATTCTGATATTGTCTTTAATCTGTGAATCACATAGGAATACATCTTAAAGTTGCTAAAGTTTTATTGTAACCTGGTGCATAATCGATTTAAAAAGTGTTTCAGATGTACTTGAAAATAATGTGTATTCTCTATTGGATTCAAGTTCATATGCATATCTGTTAATCAGTCTCCTTTATTTTATTCAAATATTTTTTATCCTTTCTATTTTTAAGTTCGATCTTCCAGTTTCTGGTATAGCCAGAAATATTTTACAATGATTGTGAACTTGTCAATTTCTCCTTATATTTTTACAGAGTTAGCTCATATATTTTGAAACTGTATTACAAGTCATGTGAAAATTACTGTTTTTGTACTTTTTTTGGTGGATTTTCTTATTGTCAAATATTTCCCCGCACTTTTTCTCTATTAATTCCTTTCTTGCTTTAAATTCCATTTAGTCTGCTTTAATATGCTTTTTGTCTAAGAACTGTTTTGCTGTATTTACAATATTCAATCTGCTTTTTAGTAAGTGAGTTTATTTCAAAGACTGAGAGGTTCGGAATGATTTCTATCTCTTCCTCTGTGTTTTTCACTTACCATCTTTGGTAGATCATGTTCTAATATCACTCTCTGCTTCCTGCTAGCTAAACTCTGATTTCGTTCAGGTTTTGAGCTTTACTGGGCACAGCCCCAGGAGATGAATCTTGATTTGTTGAAGCTGGTCATATTGGTTCGTTCCACTTTTCTAGTGATTGATTTTTTTTTTTTTTTTTTTTTGAAACGGTTTTTTTTTTGAGACGCAGTCTTGCTCTGTAGCCCGGGCTGGACTGCAGTGGCCGGATTGATTTTTACCAAATAAGTAGTAAGGGGAAGTTTGCTGGGGACCATTTGGCAGAGATTTTCCTCTTTGATGAAAAGGGAGTGACTCACGGTGAAAAACCCTGACCCCTTCCTTCTTATCTTTGAAAGTAGATGTTGGAAGGTGTAATGCCTACAGGTATGACAACTGTCTTTCAAACACGAGGGGATAGCCAAAAGAATTATAGCAAGTCCTACTCAGGGACCCGTAGTCATCGAGTCAGCTACCTCTCAAATGTGAACTTTATGAAACAGTGATGTCATGATTGTTGAAGATGCTTTTAGTTGGGCACACCATACTGATGTGCCATCTGGGACTGTCGCACTGCGATATGCCCATAAAATCTGTATTTGTTTTCCTCATGAGCATTTACATAAAGTGTATTTCCTATCCTCTTTTACAGTTAGGTGGGGCCATGGGGCAGAACTTTCTGATAGAATATGGTAGAAGAGATAAATGCCACACTTCCAGGCATGTCCCCTGCCACCCAAATCTTCCACATAATCTTCCAAGTCTTCTCTCTTCTCCTTTTTGCTAGAGTACAAGGAGCATTTAGGTTTCTGAAAGGTGGAGAGTTCACAGGGAGGATCTAATATAGTTCTTGCTTCTTCTGCAGGCATAAAATGCTTAATGGAATTGGTTCCAAACCAGCTGCAGGCAGAGTTCTCTAAGTTTCTCCAAGTGTCTGTGATTGGGAGTGGTGGCTGGAGTGCAGGTCAAGTGCAGGCTGGCTAGTCTGTAGATACTGATTCTCTTCCTGGACATACGGTCTTTAAAGTAGTTTTTCTTGTCCCTGGCCATGCTAACCTTTCTCCCTCAACACTTTTCTCCCTTTCTCTGACCTTCCAGTACAGGGAAATCTTTTTATAATTGAGGTGAGATTTATTGTTTGTTCACAAGAGTTTTTACTGTTCTCTTTTGGTTTCTGCTTTTGACATTCCATAGCCAAGAATTTTCCTTTTTTTCTCCTTTGTTTCTGCTGGGTCTTTATCTTCCTAATGCAATGAACTTGAAGTGCTTAGCTGACTGAATGGGGAAAAATCCAGCAGCAAAGAGAAGTGATAAAAAATATTTCAGTTAATTTTTCAAAGTAGCATGCAGCTATATATTTTTAAATTTTAGGAGCAATATGGAAATATTATCATCATAAAATACAAATGATATTAAAGTAATCAATGTATAAAAATAAAATTAAAGTCCCCTTCAAATTATCCCTACTCTCCTCCCAAGCCTACTTCTTTTTGCAGAGATTTTGATTATTAGTTGTTTGGTTTCAAGATCTTAGGTCCATGTATTTACATATATAACTGTTTTATATGATATATATAGCTTTACAGAGAGTTTTGATTAATAAATTCTATCATACTATGTGTAATCTAAATCAACATTTTTGTTGAAGATCTTTTAATGCCTTTAATAGAGACATTTAACATGAATCTTTAATATAGATTCATCCCATTTTTTAAGCAAATGTAATTTATTTACTTCCAGTGATAAATCATAATATAATTAACTATCCCCTCATTGATGGACATTTTGAGAAAGGTGTTCTTTTCTCCTGCAGTTGGCTCTCGACTTTGTTAACCAGATTGCATTTCTCCTAAGCATTCAATGGTTATCACTACTGTGTAACAAAATACTTTAAATGGTCTGCAGTTTCCCTATGGATTAGTAAAATTTTAAACTCTGCACTTCAATTCTCTCTCAATATCTGGAATTTTGTTAGCTATTTCTTCACTTA